GGCTGCGTCTCGGCGCGAATGGCAGATGGCATCGCCTGTCGCAGCTTTGATGACGCGCCCTCCTCCGTCGTTGATGCAGCAGCCCCAGCGCGGCCGATGTCGGACCCCAGGTTGAGGTTGGCCACGCCCCTAGCGGTCGCTGCGTCGATGGCGGGAATTTCAAAATTTAAATCTTCAGAAATGGCGGGAAGACGCTCCCCACGCCGGTTCCTCTCGCCCCGCGGTGGACCATCAGCCGCCAGCCGTGTGATGTCCCCCAGCGCAGCGGCAGCGGCGTAGAGCAGTTCCGCCAGCCTCTCATGAGCCAGCCTCAGGTCGTCTCCCCGCTGCTCCTCTTCATGGCGATGCTCCGGTAAGCCCGCATCCGGCCCCGGCTGCACGTCGTCTAGTAGAGCCATCTCGGGCTCGGCAATTTCGGCGGCGTCCTCCGCCCGCTGTTCCCTGGCTCGAGCTGTTTGGCGCGTGTCCATGTTCTTGGTACTTCTGACGCCAGATGAAGTGTTGTTGAAGACGCGTGGACAACGGGGTAAGGCACACGTATTTATTTATACAAAGGGCTTACAGTACTAGAGGGATGTATCGGCCCCCTCACCCGTACAACTGGGAATTCACCCCTAGCTAGCCTTCCTAGCTGAGTCCTCCGCTAACGGGCTAGGGGAGGCTGTCTGGCCCGACACTGGTTAGTCGGGCTACGGTACCCGGAATCCCAGAGGTCTGACTCTGGTTCCGGGACCACGCCACTGGCTCCAGCCTGCACTGCCCTTACAAGGGCGGCGTCCCAGGGGGAGTCCAGGGCCTATCTGGCTGGTCTTCTCTCTTCTCCTAACTACTCTAAGACTGAGCCCCGAGCTCTCTGGCTCAACCCTTTTTATACCCCGTTAGAGGATCGAAACCCCCCTCACGCCGTCCAGTACGGACGTCGTTGCGGGCACCACCCCGTGTGCTCACGGAGACCCCGCCCACTGTGTCTGTTTTCCATTAGCCCCTATGTAAACAGCCCTACACAAACAGACCCTCTGTAACAGCCCTACACATGTATGTATGCGGATGTACAGTACTCAGTCGGTTTACGAAGACTTGATGACCAGACACAAAAAAGTCTGCTTCTCCACATAAAACAAAATCCAGTCCATCGGCGTTTTGGACAAAGTGTTTCCGCAGCAGCGTTGTATTTAAGCAGGCAAACTCTGGGCTGGTTTTGACCTTCACGGGTCTCATCAGTGGGGTCAGGCTTCAGGCTTGCTGCCGTGTGGCCGCACACTATTGGCAAAAGCCATCGCGTTAAGCTATTGGCACAACGCGCAAACGTTGCGTCCCTGAACCGATATATGTAGCAAAAGCTAGTTTTTACACAAAGCTAACAAATCTGCTTTCCTGGCACAAAGCACCACTATTATTAGGGAGTAAAGATTGCGGTTACATTGTGCCGCTATTATTTATGTTATCGTATAACCCTCGTGAAGGTCTGCTGAGCAAAATATCCGCTGTCCTGTGTTCCTATCTCAAGGTGTATTGCTTCCAAACCCTCGCTTGCTCACTTGCTCTCATTCCATTATTGTTCGCAATTCCGGAGGGCCTTCAGAGCATTTGGAATAAATTGCTGCCCAACCCCCCCCCCCCCCAAAACAGATTGTTTTGCCAGAATAGTCATTACGGTGAGGGCAATCCACAAATCCCATACGTGAATTCGGAACGGGAATATATATTTTACAAAAATCCAGCTCATTTACTGCCTAACTGTCCGGATATTTCTAAGTTTAAAATTACGCGGAAAGCCAAGATTGCATTTTTTTTTATTTTCATTGAAGAGGTCGCGATGCTGTCCTGCTTTTTGCTTTTCCACCCCCGCCGTTGGTGAAAGGGCCCTCCACGAGAGAGTCTCTAGTGAGTTACTTGGCCTACTCTTTCACGCTGGCCAGGCGTCTTGAAGGAGCCGGGAGTTAACCACCCTTTACTCCACCGACACGGGGCCTGTCGATGGTCTAATTGCGGTGCATCTCTTTCGACTGCTGGACGGAAAGAGGCGAGAGGGGTAGGAATGAAGAAACTCGCCCCATTACTTAAACTGCCGCCCGCGAGGTCGAATCGAAACCAGAGACCTCTGGATTTTAAAAATATATATAACGATACAATATATGTGGCTGCGAACAGACACTCTCATTCACGACCTTCACCAGTGACCAGCTGTTTCATTGAAAACCCGCTATACTTTAAAAATGTAGATAAATAACATACTTTAAAGACTTAAGTACTCTCGGGCTCGGCCAGAGCACATTTGCACGGCCCGGGCCACGTGTGTTTCCGATCCAGCTGATTGAGTTTTCACAACTCCCAGTCATTAATTTACTTAATCTGGCATATTTATGACACCTACAGGAGTGCTCCGTGAAACCTGAATAGGTTAATGCACCCAGCGCAGGCGTGTGCGGTCGCGTGGGCGGGCTTTTCGCGAGCTGCTTGTCTGGCGGTGGCAGCAGTAGCAGCAGCAGTGGTGAAGTCTCTTTCAGAGCTGTGGCGAAATACACTAAATAATACAATAAAATGCAATAAATAGAATTTAAAAAAACGGAAATTCTGTGCACAATGCTGATAAAGCCAGTGTCTTTTGCACGTCAGCACAGCACTTGTCCTGCATGTATAAGCACCTTCCCCAGGGTGATTCGGCACATCTGCTAACGCAAAAGAAAAAAATTAAGCCATCATTACGGCAGGAAGTTGAGGAGTGGACCGTTTTAGACATCATTAAATATTTATCGCTCAATTGGTTTCTTCTTTTTTTTGTATCCTATTTGTTTTACTGCCAGCTTTTGCCATGAATTGTGCCATCGTAATGGCTTTGACAGGCACATTAACCAAAACAGTCTTGACGCTGACACTGCCGCCACTCTTCGAAATGACGGATTGAAAATTCAAAACCACTCATTCGTTGTTTTTCACACGTACTCGCTGCATTTATGAAATTACGGACATTATATTGATCTCATGATGCCGTGGTGTACTGGTGAACACGCACTCGACTTGCAATTCATAGGTCGTCGGTTCCATTCGATCTTTCACCGCGGCGGTTGAGGCAATAGCGTAAGCTTCTTATAAATGCTTCTGGCTGTCTCTGTGCAACCAGCCGCAGTATAAACGGGGCGCAACACAGTCAGTCGAATTGGCAGGTCGTCTGTGGTAGGAATAAATGGTGGGCACCCCCACCTCATCCACAATGTTTGGCCAGTGTGGAAGAGTAGGCCAACCAATGGCTGTAGCTAGTGGAGGCCCTTCTGCCAAGAGTGGCGTGAGCAGAAACTGGCAGGGCATCACCTCAATACTGATCTGATGCCATGGTGGCGAGATGTTAACTACTTCGCCTGGTATACAGGAGTTTGATTCTGACCCTGATGCATGATCTACCTGTGGTCGCGTGGATTTTTTCTCCGCATTTTTTGGTTTTCCCCTCCGCATTTAGAAACGTGCTTTTAGAGCATTTGGCTACTATGTATTTCCACGTGAAAAGCCACTTCATTGGCTATCATTTGTGACCAGGTCGCTTTAGAAAAAGAGCTATATAGCTCAGTGGGCCTTTCCTGGTAAAATAAAATAAAAACAGTTTTAGTTTTAATAGATCTCAAAATGCGACATTTGCAGCAACCGGCATCTCATAAATTGCACGTTGTGGGAGAGACGGCCAACATATCAAGCAATGTGACTCGGATTTTGTCTAAAGGGAGAACATTTCTGCTTAATGTATTGTACCTGGCCACCCCTTTTGGGAAGGCCCACACTGGCCAGAACGAGCAAATTGGCAACGTCTGAGATTCAAGTGGGGAAACTCTCTGCCCGTGGCTCATGGGAGGCAAGCATCCCGTGCACAGCACCACACGGCAGGGCTGTAACTCAGCGGCGCTAACCATCGAACGGGACCTCATTATAAAGCAGCTGATCGTGGCAAAATTGAACCGCGCCGTTTCCAAAGGCGTTCGATGAATAATAAATAACGACACCTCTACGGCCGCCCCCTCTTCCTCCACTTCGCCCAACACTAAGTGGGGTGGGGGGAAGGTGGCTGGGATATCAATTTTCAAGATACCGTACGAAACGATATCATACGTCAAGATGGGATCATGGTGCTTAAAAAAATAGCTATTTGCGCGTTGCCTTGCATTCGTGCGTTTGCCGCCGCAAAGCGGCGCCCATGTCTCCCCACGCAACAGTCAATATTCGCCCTGCACCGTGTCCATGCCGCAGCCTGAAAGTCAGGGGCCCGCAACCCATGGATTGAGAACGGCCGTTCTAGAGAGGCTCCTGAGAGCTCCCTCTTGAAGAAGGGGGCCCTTCTGCCAGCAGTGGCACGAGTAAGATATGAAAATGTATCTGGTTAAAATGGTTTTCTCTCTTCAGTTATTCTCAAACGTCTTTCTCACTTCTTCTTAACGTGGTTGTTGTTAACTATTATGAATACAAATTGTTATTGTTTTATTTCGGGGCCACATTTCATCGGGGCAAGCCGACCGCGATGCAATCAGCCAGTAAACAAACACCGAATCACGCGTCTGTGTCAGGCAGTGCCCTTTCCATCGCACTGTGGACAATCGATGCGTTTTTCAGGTGTCACCCAGAGCAGGGCTTTAACTCGCACCTCCGATTAGCACGGTTGGCTACGTATGGTGCGAAAGAAGTCCAACACGCGCACGTACACGCACAACGGTTGAACCACCCAAAATCAGAATCAGAAAATGTACTCATACTGGAGGAATCCGACGAGCTCTAAAGCTCTTTTTCACAGATGTCCGTTCGGGGCGGGTAAGAACGTTACAACAATCAATACAAAAACCCGACAGGAGCCCCAAAGAACATCAAAGGCGAACAAATCACCCAAAAAAACACACGAATAAAACCGCGCCGTCCCCATCCCACACAGGCAAAGCCCACCGAGGCATTAACTCATTTTTTGTTTCCGAAGCGACCGCCAAAACGCCACTGACGTTGACCCCACCGCCCACCGCCCCTTGCAGGCATGCAGAGCATCCTGCCGGCGTATCTGCGCGAGCGCTTCGTGCGTGCGGCGCTGGGCCACGTGCTGTGCGACGGGCAGGGCTGGTTCGAGTGCCGCGGCGCCGCCTGCTCGTGCCGCTGCCACGCCGCCTTCCCCGAGTGCAACTGCCCCGAGGCCGACGTGCGCGCCCTGCGAGACACCCTGCGACGCCTTCGCCAGAAGTGGTCGGCGGCCTACGAGGCGTTCGAGAACTCTGGTGGGTGCTGGGGGCGCGGCGGTGCGGGGGTATTGGGTGTGGGGTGTGGGGGGCGGGGTGTGGGGGTGTGGGGGTGTGGGCATGTGGGGCACGGTTTGTGGGGGTGTGGAGTGTGGGGTGTGGTATGTGTTGGTGTGGGGCTCGGGGTGTGGGCGTGTGGGGCTCGGGGTGTGGGGGTGTTGAGTGTGGGGTGTGGTATGTGTGGGTGTGGGGCTCGGGGTGTGGGCGTGTGGGGCTCGGGGTGTGGGGGTGTGGAGTGTGGGGTGTGGTATGTGTGGGTGTGGGGCTCGGGGTGTGGGGGTGTGTGGCACGGGGTGTGGGGGTGTGGAGTGTGGGGTGTGGTGTGTGTGGGTGTGGGGCACGGGGTGTGGGGGTGTGTGGCACGGGGTGTGGGGGTGTGGAGTGTGGGGTGTGGTGTGTGTGGGTGTGGGGCTCGGGGTGTGGGGGTGTGTGGCACGGGGTGTGGGGGTGTGGAGTGTGGAGTGTGGTGTGTGTGGGTGTGGGGCTCGGGGTGTGGGCGTGTGGGGCACGGGGTGTGGGGCACAGGGTGTGGGGGTGTGGGCATGTGGGGCACGGGGTGTGGGGGTGTGGAGCACGGGTTTGTGGGGGTGTGGGGCACGCACAGAGGTGTGGGGCACGGTGTGTGGGGCTCAGGGTGTGTGGCGTGTAGGGGTGTGGCGTGTGGGGGGGGGAAGGGCTCCTGGACATATGTGATAAAGAGCTTCGTAGGTCATCAGATTTCTAAAGGAGCATAAACCATCACGTGACAGCTTTTGGCTTGCCATCGAACAAAAATGGTCACCGCATCGAGTGCTTTCAGATGCGCTACTGCGGCCGTCTGGAACGCTCTTCCTTAGGAAGCCGTCGGATCTATGCCCTTTTAAATCTAGATTGAAAATTCATGTGTTTCGAACTGCTTTTTGTGTTTAGTTTGTGGTCCTTTCCCGCACCTCCGATTAGCACGGTTGGCTTCGTACGGTGCAAAAGAAGTTCAACATACATAGAGTCTCAATAAAGATTCAGAATCTGAGCATTCACGGCTCATTGCGGAGGCGATGTCTGTGATTATTTGTGCCTCGTGAGTAGTTGTCTCTTCGAGAGCAAACAATTACTGTGTTGCGCATTACAAGTGGACATCAGCTATTGCCACACGATGCAGAATTGCAGTTGAGTGGGAAGTCATTCATCCAGCAGTGCATGGATAATGGCTATTGATGACGACGCACATTAGAATACCGCAGTATTTTTGAGCCAAAACATCGTAAAATGTCGCCTGTACACTACCCATCGCACACACTTTATCCCTCCACTCTCTTGTGCCCCGCTCTGAATAAGCTTACTTAAAACATGTAGGCCTTATTTACATTCTGCCCGTAAAAAAAAAAAGACAGCATCACATCGTGACATCCGTGGTAAATTACCTTCGCGTCAATTCTCAGGACGCGACGACGGGCACTTACCGGCTACAGAATTGAATGCCAGCGGCGGGTGGCGTGAAATGACCTCACCGCCGACTACTTTGAGCGCCTAGTGAGCGTTGACCATGTCCCAAGCGCAGCCAGGTCAAACCGACGCACAAACCGATCGCGAGAAATTGCGGCATTGTCACTCTACCAGGCTCTCATCAGCTCCGAGGAGCCCTCGGAGCAAACGGGTGAAATTGGCAGCCGGATCCTGCCACACCATCTTGTGTGCCCGCGGTGAATTGGATCTCAAAAATAAAAAGGGACACCTTGTTCATCTGTCGCTCATTGAGCGGTGCCAATTGAATGTACAGTATTGCGTCTGAAATGTATTTTCTTTTTCAAGGGTGAAATTAAGCTTTTTTTTTGCGGGAGAGCAGTTTCTATCCTAGCTATTGAACTGCTTGCCCGCTTTCGGCCGCCGCAACGTTTACCCCGTTGTCTGTTTCATAATTTCACCAAAAAAAAAGGGAGAACGGTGCTAAGTCCCCGCTGGGTTCAATAAACTTTCACGGAAAGGGCCAGAACTAAGAATTCTCACGGGATCCCAATGGAACTAAGAACTATTGGCAATTTGATAAAATGACCGACAAAAAAAAACATCTGCCGATCCCCGTGGCCACCCTGGGAGATTTCAGCAAATGAAGTGGGCAAAGCAGCAGCAATTTCATTTTACTGCATATTGGCGATGTGATGGCTGTAGCGTTTGGTATGTTGGGTGCGATGCTGTGCAGGGCTCACGGCAGCAGTTCCGTTTGAATTGCACGCAACGCAGCTGAAGGAATAATTTTGAAAATGTATGGACGCGCTTTATGGTATCGCATTGTATTTCTAAGGTGAGGCTAAGCCTTCATTAGAAGTTTTACCCATCGCTTAGGGATGCCAGTATATATTTAACAAAAATATGTAAATTTCAACTTAAATCTTTCGTGACTGCAGGGATTCATCATCTTGGTTCTTTCGGTAAAGTCACGTAGAAGGGAAATAATAAAATAATAAAAATGTGAGAATTATTTGATTTTATTATGTTTTATTTTTATTATTTTATTAGTTCCCTTCTACGTGACTTTACCGAAAGAACCAAGAAAAATATGTAATGTATGGGAAAGGTACAGCACCTCAATTGCTTGTTTGGGCCACTGGGATAAGGGCCTCCACTAAAGGGAGCTTTGGAGGAACCCTCTCGAGGACTTTTTCATGCTTGTCAGACATCTTGGAAGAGGTGAGAGCATCCACACATTAGCCCACCGAACGTGACACGACCAATCGACTAACTGTGGTGAACACATTTGTAACCAAATGCGTGGTTGAAGGTTTCACATAATTATTATTGCAATTCAATGGTTTTAAGCTTATATTGAAGAATGATCATGTATTACTGGCCCCTTGTTTTAAAAAATGTGCCTTTAAAGAAATAACTTTTTGACTTGATTGATAGATGTTTCAACTGTCGTGCCAGGAGATTGATTCGAACCAGCGACCTGTGGATTGCAAGTCCAGTGCTCTGACCGTTACACCATGGGAGCATCTATTAACACAATAAATACATTACTGTATTTAAGACAAAGATCCCCGGTATAACCTTTAAAATACTGTTGGGGCAAGTGCTGTTAGCGAGCACCTATGAAGGCCGGCACGGCACACGAGGGGGTGGATGGCCAGCACCACACCCACCTTTGTCTCCCCAGTGGCGATGTTTATACATCGCACCAGATACTCAGTTGAGGCTGAGTTTGACCTAGGGGAGGCCCAAGATCGGTTCAGATAATCGTCACTGGTGTTGGCCGTGAGCAAGAATCGAACTCAGGTCGTCCGTCGGGTTCGTAGCGCAGCGCTCCAACCGCTACACCACCACTCCCCTTATTACAGTATATATATACACACATACATATTTTACTTAAAATCCATTGAATGAAAGTGGTGTCTAATGCTCAAAAGAGCATTGGGCACAGTGCAAAAGAATTGTCTTTTGACAAAAAAAAAAACCTTTACACTATGAGACCTCCTTTACCAGTGGCAAAATATAGTAATAGGTTTTTACCCTTCCAACTGGCACAAAAACTGACACCTTTATACATATCATTATCATTTTTTAGTTGTTTCTTTTTTTTTGCTTGAATTTTGACTGCTTGTGTTGTGGTTATTGTAAACATGACCCCTGGTATAAAGGTGTCCGTTTTTGTACCAGTTGGAAGGGTAAAAACCTATTACCAGAAAAAAACCTCTCCAATGTTAACGTTCCACAAAGCGACACAAGTTTTCATGACCCTTGAAGAGATGATAGGCCGGGCCAAAACCTCCGACGCGAGATTTTAACTGGCAACCCTCGGAATGAAGAGTCTGGAGCATGAGCCAATGGCAGCGCCACCCGCACGGCCAATATAAGAGGCGATTAAACTCGTAATGAGAAATGCAATGAGGTGCAGTGGCGGTTGGAGTTGGTGAAAACGGAGCCGTTGACATTCGTGGCAGTGAAATGTCTGAGTCATCACAGGCCCCGCCTGCCTAGAGGGCCGTTGGCCACAATTCTTTGGCGGAACCCTGAACGGCAAGTAAATGCAATATCGAGATCAAGATACGAGTAGAAAAAAAAAATGCACATTTGGCGTGGGTTCTTCTTCTTCTTCAATATTGAATGATTAGCATCTCCAAGTGATTCATCGCCAAGATCGTTATGCACGGTTAAAAAAAGAATTGATACATTGACCAAAAAAAACATATTGAGTGAAAATATAAAGCCGTTGGATATGCAAGAGATGAGACGCACATTTTTTATGCGGACCATTTTTTTTTATCAGTGCCAAATAAACAACCGCTGTGATAAGAGCCAGTAGATATTGATATTTTTCATTTTTTATTTCAAACACCAATACAGCTTCCTCATATATATATGGGACAGAAAGCGAGATATCCCTGTGTAAATCTCTTTGAGCAAATATATTACCCGAGTTTGACATACAGCCTCTATCTCAAAGGCCCAGTTGTCCATATTGTTGCCTCGTTCCATTCTTCTCTCAATAAATAAATGATTTGTATTCTGATCATTTGTATTCAATAAACTGTGCCGGCGTGGAGCAGTGGCACGGTGGTTAGCACGCTGCACCGTGAACCTGACGACCTGAAATGCAATTCCTGATCGTGGCTAAAATCAGTGTCTCGCGATATTTGAACCATTACTGGGTTCACCAACTTCACCAACTCGCACTGACCAGCAATGGTGAAGTATGATCAGATATCCCTACAACTGACACAGCATGTGGAAGCATTCGTCCAATAGTGCATTGACCAAGGGCTGCACATTCATTCACTATGCATTTTGGTTTGTAAACTTAATATGACTATGTATTACTTCAAATGTGTTTCTTCATTTTGCTTATAAGTTAACGTTTGTCAGTAATCTTACAAACCCCTTCGTTTGAACAGTTATGATAACGGTAAATTGTGAAACTAAACAAAAAATTGTATTTTTCCAGGTAAGGCCTACTGAGCTATATAGCTCTTTTTCAGTAGTGACATGGCCACAAACTCACACGAAGTGGTTTATCATTTGGACATTTATAGCAACCAAATATTCCAAACGCATGTTTCTAAATATGGAGAGAAAATCTGGAGGACCCAGAAAAAAAAATCCACATGATCACAGGAAGAACATGCAAACTCCAAATATACAGGATTGGGATTGAATCCTTGACCTCCTGTATAACCAGCCCTTCAATTGCTTCCTCATGCCACTGCTGGCAGAAGGAAGTTCGAGAGAGCCCCTTCAGAGGGTAATTGGCCTACTTGTCCACACAAGCCAGACGTCACATGCGACCTGCTGCCCGACTGTCCGGGTTGAACCCATTTACGCTGCTGGGTAGACTGGGTGGAAGGGCTTCAATAACCTTTGACCTGTTTCAGCTGCCACGCCGGGAGGTAGAATCGATGTCCTCTGGAAAGAGTTAATTGTGTTGCCCCGTTTCACGAGACTTATGGGAAACCAAGGCCTCGGCGATTATTTGGTCGTACGGTTGGTTCCCTTGTTCCTGGCAATAATGCAACGTTTGTAACAGTAATGTTAGCTCAAGAATCGCGTTTTCTAAAACGGCCAAGTAAAACCAAAAAAATACACGTTTTATTTTGTTGCATATTTACCATGATGTCAAAATTCATTCCATCGCGATCTTGCGGCGCGCGAGCATGCACGCTCGCACCGAGTGTTACCGTTATTCATTCTATTTATTTTTTTCCCATGTAGAACAATTCAGATGATTAATCAACGCCCTGAGACGAGAAAGAGTGGGCGGCAATGAAAGCAAATTGCATTTGCGGAAAGTGCCGCACTTGTGACTTATCCTTTCCCACTGACGCTTCGATGTTTGCCTTGCAGAGCGCCACCGCCGCGGAATATCAATGGCATTATCACGCATGGCCATTCAGCGCCTGGTCGGTCATTCAATCTTCGAGACTGTGCAGCTTTAAATGAAATTAACTCGGGCACATTTTCCGAGCCCGTCTTTCCCCTCCGTTCTTTGGAGGGGTCAAGATGCCGTTAGGAAATTGGTAGTGTCCAATAACTCACCAACGTGTCCGCGTATCCCCGCGATGCCCGTGGAAATTGCCCAGGTGTCTCGTTGCTAATAAATGTAATAATGTCTCTGAGTGGCCCGAGTTGCAGGAGTTACACGCCGGCGCCAAATCATGCGGCGGCTGCGGCGGCGGGCAGATTGGCGAGGAGTCTCAGGAACCGATGGGCGGGGTTGTGGGTGGCGGGGAAATAAGATTTAATTTTCCATGCTTCCGAAGGCGCCTTTAGATCCTCTGAGCCTGGCACCCACACTTTAATGGCCTCTGTGGTCTACCGCAAGAAGAATTTCCTCTCGAGTAACGCCTGCCATAATTTGCCATAGCGGGCGAGCGAAACATTTGGTTAATGTGTCACTTCCCCTTTTAAAAATAATTAAGGCGAATAATGAATAGCAGTCCCGTGATTGAGGGGTCTCCGGCTCCAGGAGAGAGTACTTAGTGGCATTTGATGAGCCCTGCTGCCAGTGCAAGGAACGTGCACCACTGCGAGCCGTCTAAGTAACAGTGAACGGAGATGAGCGAACCATCGCAGTTTTGCCACATCCTCAAATTCACTTGCCGAGTCTGCGCGTCAGCCTTTGAAACGGCCTGCTAAATATTTACGTGCCCAGAATTACATTGAAGACTGATGGCAGTGGTAATTGAGTTTTTTTATCTGCCCCCCCCCCCCTTCTCATACAGGGGACTTTTACTGACCTCCGCCAAATAGTAACCTTATTCAAATGGCACGTACGGCTCCCTCAAAATGTTCTCTTCAGTTTGGCTTGAGTGTCAGAAGAGAAATGAGCCCATCACTCAGCGGTGTCTTCAATTAACGACACGCGCCAAGATGTGTGACTTTCGGATCCCCCGAATCATATTAAGCCCCCATCAACCTCTCTGTCTGCCATTACCACGTTATTGCCGCATTTTGTGCTTCGCCGGGTGATGCCGTCGGGTGATGGTTAAGCGCGCCGGAGTTGGAAATCCCGAGGACACCGGATTGATTCGATCTCTCAGCGTGGCAACAAAAACGATGGTGCACGTTTGTTAAAATCCAAGCCTTCTAAATCGGTGCGCCACAGTTTAGTCGATCGGCGGTTCGCGTGCGGTGGGGTAAAGTGTGGCCCCCGGCCCCTCTCACCTCTCTCAAGTTTGTCTGCAGCTGCAGTTGGTGGAGGAGTAGGCAAAATACACTCCAGGGGGGCGGGGGAGGTCTCTCTTGAGTTGCCGTGAGTAGGGGCTCTTATAACAGTCGTGGTGGTGTGAGCACGCTATTGGAAGCTTGCAACCTGTGCTTTTACCCGATGCTAATCAATATTGATTTTATTTTGAAATGCATTGCATTGTTTGTTGCATTTTTTGTACCGTTTGTTGTTGTAACTTTCTGGCCCGCCCCTCCTGGGTGTCTCATCTGATTCTGAAAGATTTCTGAATGACGGATGCTCTTTCAAAAATATAAACGAGACCTCTTATAACGGCCACTCCCTGGCATCGCGCGCCGTGATTTACACATTGTTTTCACAGGAACGCCCCAATTAAACAACATTTCTAGTAATTGGACAGAATCCATCAACGCGTAACTTAATTGTAATTAAAACCTAATCAAAGCCTCTTTCCACCACTCCCTCCCCCCCTCCCCTCCCTCCCTCCCCTCCATCCCCTCCCTCCCCTCCCTCCCTTGCTGTCTCGCAGAGGAGTTCCGGGCGTTTGTGCGCCGCCTGCCTTCGGGCCGCTTCCTCTCGCGCTCCGAGCTCTACCAACTATGGGCGTCGGAGCGGGACCTGCAGCTGCAGTACGGCCGCGTCCGCGTCTATGCGGCAGGCGTCCGCGCCAGGGCGGAGCGCACGGCGCGACGGATTTACTCGCTGAGCCGCACCTGCGACAGCAACCCCACCGTGCAGATGCCGGCCGAGAGGTCGGTGTCGGTTAACATTTCTGCCCGGGAACTCGCTCGACATTTCGCTGCCCCATGCTCTGAGCTTTCTTCCTCCGAGTCGGTTCCCCGAGAAGCTTCCGGCACGTGGAGCGAAACGTCGGACAACGTGTCAAACGACACACAGTACTACAGGCTGCAAACGCGATCGGACGGCTATGGTCATTGTCGACTTTTTTTTAAAGTGGTAATTATTTTATCGATCCTGGAGAGAATGATGGTCTCGTGAGTCGAACTCCGACCGGAATTTGACCTCGGAATCTTACGTTTGCGAACTTAGCTTTTTTTTTCTGCCAGACAAACTGCGTAACGGGGATCAAATTATAGGCTGCATTATATCACACTGGCGGGGCGCGATCATTATTTGTGAAAAACAGGTGGACAGGAAAATCCAGTGCAGAAAATCCTTTGAGGTCAAACAGAGTCAAAGAATGTTTCCTGTTCAAGTGAGCACTGCAACAATGCTCATCTCCTATATACAGCTCTGAGCAAGTACTGGAAATTCCACATTGCTATGGTGGTGTAGAGTCTATACTTAGGGACAACCACTGTTGGATACCACGGAAAATTATATTTATTTTATCGACCATTGAGGGATGATGGGCTAAGTCAACCCCCACCAACCAGGATTTGAACTCCCAACCTTCCAGATAATAAAACAATAATGTGCTCTTAGCCTGAATAATTCTAAATTGGTTTTAAGTGTGTGATGTACTGAGAAGGCAATGTTAGGACTAACTAAACGGCATGCTAAATTGTATTCACTACTGTAATTAACCTGAATGGTAATACCAAATTGTATGCTCATTGTTATATTTCCAAGAACATTAGTTAATCACGTTGTTACAGAGCCAATGTGTATTTTTATTTCGAATAATTTATATTTTCAGTGCGAGAGAGCACCTGTTTCTTTTTTCCTTCGTCGGGAGCCTTGGCGTCTTTTAGAAAATGGCGAGCAATCTTAAATGAATGAAACTAAAGATACACAAGCATGTCAATAAAATCAGAGCCACACCTCTCATTTGATTGACATGAACTCTATTTGCGCCAACATTATCACCGGTTGCTCACAGCTCGGGAGCAGAGGACCAAGGTAACGTCACCGATCATGTGATGTCATAACACGCACGTACACTGTGTGCACCACATTGGCGAGATGTTAACTACCTCGCCTGGTATACAGGAGGTCGTGGGTTCGATCCCAACCCAGACGCCTGTTGTATATTTGGAGTTTGCGTGTCTCTCTCTCTCTCATCATCATCACGGTGGCTAGGAGATGTTAACTACCTTGCCTGGTATACAGGAGGTCGTGGGTTCGATCCTGATCCTGACGCCTGCTGTATGTTTCGAGTTTTCATGTCCTCCCCGTGGTTGCGTGGTTTTTTTCTCCACATTTAGATTCAACATAGCGCTTAGAGTGTTTGACTGCTATAAATTCCCACGTGATAAGCAACTTTGATTTGTGGCCAGGTCGCTTCTGAAAAAGAGCTGTGCTTAGCTCAGCGGGCCTCACCTGGTGAAATAAAAACGGTTTGGTGTTTTATGTACGCACATCGAACTTACTTCGTACCGTACGTAGCCAACCGTGCTACTCGGAGGCGCGGGTGAAAGGACCCGTTTAGCAGCTTCACACCTGAGACACCACATCGAGGCATTCAACTCTCACCCGCCCCTTACGCTGCCTGGCAGGCCGCTGTCCGTGTGGCTGGAGCGAGTCCAATCTCTCCTCTACTGCTCGGGCCACGGAGCCAGCGGCGGCACCAGCGGCGGCTCCGGTGGCGGCTCCGGCAGCTCCGGCGGAAGTGGCGGCCGTTTCTCCGAGGAGTCCGGCGTGTGCGTGTGTCCCGCCGGCTCGCCGGGCCCTGCCGTGTGCCAGCGTCCGCTTCCGTGCCGGACGGGGCCCGGCACTCGCTGCACGTCGTGCGACCGCGGCAACGCGACGCGGTGCGGCGGGTGCGGCGCCGGCTACACGCTGGCGCCCGACGGGACGTGTAGGCCTCAGGCGGCGCGGCCGGACGAGACGGAGCTGTTCATCGACTTCGAGTCGGACCTCGACCTGCAGGTGTGACGGCGGCGCGTTCGTGGACACGAATCACAGTTTTTGTGTACGCGCGCGTAATGTTTACGTTGTGAACTTTTTTCTTCTTCTACCTACCAGGTTAGGCCCCACTGAACTGTGTAGCTCTTTTTCAGAAGCGGCCTGACTGGCGATCACAAATGATAGCTCAACGAAGGGGCTTTTAATCGCGTGGAAATGTGTCGCGGCCGTTTTACTCTAAACGCATGTTGATTCTAAATGTGGAGGGCAAAAACCGTAGAGACCCCGAGATACCTTCACACGACCACCACGGGGATCGAACCCACGACTCTCCTGCATATGAGACCAGGGAAATAACGCCTCGGCACTGAGGCACCCCAACATCGATAGCTGTTTAATGCACGTGTCAGCCATCGAAGAGAGTACAACAAGGGTGCATTGCAACACATCTAGCGGATACCGTAGCCTCGAGCCCAGGATATCGGCGGCTCCGCTTGATCTCCCTTCCGCGGACGTTATCCCCCTAACCGCCTACATTGCTCGTGCATCCTTAGCCGCAGCCACGTCTGTAGCGCTTCCAACAAGTGCTCCCCCCACCAACGTCCTATTCAGTGTGAACGCACCTGTCCACAGCTGACGTGTGTCGGGTTTGATTAGGAGCGTCCCACCCCACCAACAGCGGGGGTGGGGGGGGGGTTGCGTTCATTAGCAGGTGCTTGGTCGATCGTTGTTGTTGTTGTTGTTTCTTTCACCCCCCCCCCCAAATAATCCGGACGATGAACCAGTGTTCACGGGCAGATTAGGGGCAACGTAGGATCTGTGTAAATGTCATTTGCCGCGCAGATGGTTGAAGGGATGCGGCTGGGATTCTGCAGCCCGAGGGCAAAATGCCGAGCGCCATCTGCACAACGCAGCTCGTTCCACGCCCACGCTTGTGTGTGTGTGTCTGTGTGTGTGTGTGTCTGTGTGTGTCTGTGTCTGTGTGTCTGTATGTGTTTGTGTGTGTCTGTGTGTGTGTGTGAGTGTGTGTGTGTGTTTTTAACCCTTCCAGAGACGTCTGTCCAGTTCACCGTTGAATATCGGAACGCGCAAGCGGCCCGGCGTTAGGTTTATTGGGAGAGGCATAGCGCCGCTGTTTTTAAAGACATTGTCCTCAACGCAGAGATAATGTAGCGATACGACCTCCGCTCTACGATAGCTGGCGGCCAAACCGCGGCACACGCCCTCCCACATGGCCTCGTGGGAGCCTCGGTACCGACAAAGTTATTTAATTGTAGTTTTTTTTGTTCTCCCGGTGTAACACGTTGGCTTTTCCTCCCGGTTTTAGCTTTAACGGTGGACGCGTACGTCATCGGTGTTGACGTACGTGTCCATCATCGGAACGGAATCGGAAGAGAAACTGACATACATACGTCAGAATCAGAATCTGACGTATGTACGTCAGTTTCTGTCGACGTGGGCTCAATCCGAGGAGGTGCTTTGCCAGGCGCGCGCGGATTGGCGCTAGGCAACAGCAAACCGAGCAGTCGTTCTTAAGAGTGCCCAATAGCTCAAGGGAGTCCCGGATTTATGAATGGAAAGAAATAGGGGCGAGCGGAAAATCAGCTGCAGTGTAATTATTATCGAGATTTAGAAAAATGAATAAATAACATTCAAAGGATAATCCCTCCTGATCCCTATTTTTCTGTATCTCGCATCATCTGTATTAGTCTCTTGACCACGTATCTGTCAATTTCACTGCACGTATGCCTCGCCTGCTATCTCTCTTATTCTGTCTTCTCGCTATGTCCCTTTTGCTTGTCAAGATCTCTTCTCTCACGAGGAGTTTATATGTCGAAATGTGGTGGAGTGGGGGGGGGGGGGTCCCTCAAAGAGCCAGCAACACCACCATCACACTTCTTGCGCATTTTACATCTCCCCGCAAACAAGCGTTGGTCATCAACATACTTCTCTGGCCTTAAGTCTGTGGAAGGGAACCCCACACCCCCCCAAGGGAATTCCACCCCCCCCCCAAGGGAATCCCACACCCTCCCCCCCAAGGAACGCCACCCCCGCACCCCCACAGTCTCAATGCGTCACGCACATCAATGGGATGATGGCGACTCAATTTGACAAAATGGTTGCATCAGATTTCGATTTGAAGCTTTCGTGACTGCAGGGATTCATCTTCTTGGTCCTTTCGGTACAGTCACGTAGAAGGGAAATAATAAAATAATAAAAATAAAACATAATAAAATAATTCTCACGACGTTTCAGCCACAACGCTGTCTCCCCGACAGACCTGGTCTTCACCTGAGGACGGCTGCTTGCGTTGTGGCCGAAACGTCGTGAGAATTATTTTATTATGTTTTATTTTTATTATTTTATTATTTCCCTTCTACGTGACTTTACCGAAAGAACCAAGAAGATGGTTGCATCAGAATAAGAGGCCTGACGCCTGAAGGTGGTGTAGTCATCAAACGGCCCCGCTGTGAACGTGCGACAAAGAATGGTGAACGCATGGATGGGATTTGTGTTGAAGCTGCTCAACTCAAGTCTTCACGCCTTGTGTATGCACGTGCATATATGTGTGTGTGTGTCACTCCAATGAGCCCAACCGATCATTTTTCCCCCGAGGCAAACGCGTCTCTTGATAGGAAAGGGGTGCTTCCCTTTTAATGGCTCTCATATGACAGTCGAGGGTATAATCAGTTACATTTGGTATGCCCTTCTTTCCTAAGTACGGTAATCTCGTTATGATTATTGTAAGGCAGTGAGTCAAAACAGAATTAATGGAAAAATATGTTGCAGCAAAATCAATGTTTGATCTCGTGCAATCGTGGGTCATTGCTTAAGAGTGGAATACAATCCCATTACGTTACTGCCTCTTGTACTTTATACAATTTGATGAATTGACACGATTTTGGATAAATGTTTCAATTAGCAAATTGTTATTTTTTTTTGTCTCAATGGTACCGACTCGCATGTGGAATCTGTGTATTGTTCCATCTCATTTATTGTATTACCCTGAGTTAACATCTCGGTGGTGAGATGTTAACTCCCTCGCCTGGTATACAGGAGGTCGTGGGTTCGATCCCGACCCTGACGCCTGTGTGTTTGGAGTTTGCACGTTCTCCCCGTGGTCATGTGGATTTTTCTGCGGCTCCTCGGGTTTTTCCCTCCACATTTAGAGACATCCGTTTAGAGTATGTGGCTGCTATAGATGTCCACGTGGTAAGACACTTCGTTGAGCTATCATTTGTGGCCAGGTCGCTTCTGAAAAAGAGCTATATAGCTCAGTGGCCCTTATCCGGTCATATAAAAAAACAATAGCTTCAATGTTGGTATAACATTTGAATTCACAGCAAATCGTCTTTTCTTAGACATGCATTTTGACGTTTGAATCACGAGCATAATTTTTTTCTTTTTAATTGATTATTTCATGATTCTCTATCTGTCGTACACAAGGGGTATGCATTTGTTAATATCCTTGGTCGGCATTGACAGGGCCCCCATTGCCACGAGGGTGCTGGGACCTTAACCAGTAGCACCCTCTCGGACGCTGCAAGTATGCAGGGTGGGGGTCCCGTTCTCCGCCGAGTCTCGCAAGGAGCAAGTGGCATAGCGCCGTTGTTTTTAAAGGCATCGTTTACTCGCCGCAGAGAACTACCTGAACGGGTGGCTGGTGGGTAACGTCGGGCATCCGTGTAGCCCATAGGTCAGAGCAGAAATTGGTGCCATTGAAGTTGGCAAAAACAACTTTAGTCGTACTGATGTACGTATAAGGCTAACTAGCTTTACTACCCGGCTTCGCCCGAAACTTGGATTCTTGTCTTGGATTTGAATACACGGCCTACGCGGAGGGTGGGGGGGGGATGCGTGACGTTAGCAGGCACACTGCGTGACGCTGCCGCATGCGGGTGACATCACAGATGTGACGTCACCGCTCACTTGCCGTGCAAAATAATCATTATTGCGCCCCCGCCCCCCCCCCCCCCCAAAAAATACAAAAGTCTATTTTTAGACTTTCTGCATTGTGTACAGTCTGAAAGCTACTCACATGACAAATTTCAAGTTTGTTGCATGTTGGGAAGTATGCTAAACATTTCGAACAGACACACATATTCACAAATTTCCCTTTCATATAGATAGATAACAGTTAATTACTTGCTGGGCCCGCTCGTTTTAAATGCGTTCGCATAATTCACCGTCATTGGACACATAGGGCAATTGGGACCACGAAGGTTATGCTACCTCAGGTGGTACCGAAAAGTGAAATATCTGACCTGAGCTCGTAGACTAGGGAAGCCAATATGTTCATAGATAAAAAAAAAACTTTTTTTTACGTAATTTTATTTTCGCTTTGGAACGTAGCTTTCGGACAAAACCCCCCACCCCTCAAACCCACCGCATCCCACTAATAATGAATCCACAGTCGCCTCCGGGACCGGGGACACGTTGACCTAAATTTAAATAGCAGGCACTGGCGCATCGTGCGGGTAATTAATCACACTCGAGTTCTCAAATTCCTGGGGACTGTCGGGGGGGTGTTGGGGGGGGGGTGAGCCCCTCCAACCGTATACAGCATCCCCAAGGCGGAGGTTGCAATATGGTTGTCACTTTTTTTTTGGTTTGGTCCAACCACTCACCCAGACGCCCACACCTTGCCGTCCAACCCAGCGGTACAACCAGGTAGATTGCGGCGGGACGGTGGCGCTTGCTGGTTTTAAAGCGTGTGCCGCTCTCCCCATGAATGGCCTGCGTGGAAGAGTCGGTCAATGAGCCCCTCCGCCCCCCCTCCTCCTCTTTAATTCTCACACTTCGCCTCTCCTCCTCCTTCGATTCCGCTGGCTTCTCGTTGACTGCACCGCTATCTTGAAGCTTCCGTGACTGCAAGGATTCACACTCTTAGTTTTTTCGGTGAAGTCACGTAGGTAAAAAATGAAAAAAAAAATAATAAAAATAAAAGGATAAAAATCACGACGTTTCGGAGGCAACACAAGCTTCCGTCTTCAGGTGAAACCATACAGATATTTTGCTGTGATGGTTATGTTGCCTCCGAAACGTCGTGATTTTTATCCTTTTTTTATAAATTTTAATTTCATTTTTTACCTACGTGACTTCACCGAAAAAACTAAGAGTATGCACCGTTGTCATTGCAAATGCCTGACACTCGTCTTTAGATCTCCTACAAAGCCCTGCCCCAACTCATCATCTCACCTCTCTCATCTCCTTCCATGTCCCCACCTCTCGTCCTCTTCGTTCTCAATCTTCTCTCTCTGTCCCTCCGTCTCCCTGTGCTCAATCCCATTTATGGTCCTTCATCTCTCCTCGCAGCCCAGTGGTTGAAATTCTACATTGCTATGGTGTGGATGGAACCACCCATAGGACGACCACTGTTGACTTCCCTGCCTAGCGGTACTCATTTTTTGACCCCGGCAGAATGATGGGATGAGTCAACCCCCAAATAGGATTTGAACTTGCAACCTACTGATTTCGAACCGCTCTGCCTCCCACCGACCCATCAGGCTTGTCGTATTATTGCCACAGTAATAATCACAATGATGCTTCCACTGGTAAAACAATTGTTCCACAGGTTCCATACATCAATATTAATCAACTCAATCGAGATTTGAAGTTTTCGTGACTGCAGTTGTTTCGTGCTTTACCGAATTAACCAAAGATTATTAATGAACTCGTTTTTGACGGGCAAGTCAAGTGCAACTTTATAATGCTGTGAAGTTTATGTAAATCAGCTATTAGTGTAATTTGAGTCTGAGTTTCCTCCGCCCGTGATTAAACCGAGTCCTCAACTGGAGAGAGTGAATTGATGGTCTCAGGCCAGCCACCAATTACTCCAACCCAACAACAACATCCACCATTCCCACTAGGTGGGAGTTACGTCACCGCGGTGCTTGTGCCAGACCATGTGCACTCCAAGGCCACGTGAAGTGTTTAAAGGCTCGCTGACAGGAGGTCATGGCACCCGGCGCTCCGCTCGCTGTTGTGAGCGTGGCTTCTCTGCCCTCCGCTCTTGTTGGAGCGCGACTGCCTCCAACTGCCCAGTAGCGTCCTTCACGAGCCTCCTCCATAAAGGTAGATCTTGACACCGCTGGTACCAGTCATTGGCAAGTCCACTCAGCTGCACATCCTCCTGTACCACATCAGTCCATCTCTTCTCCAGCCCATGCTGCACCCATTTAGAACCCTCTAAAACAACCCATATATGTATGTTAAACTACTTTTGCACCATACATAGCCAACCGTGCTAATCGGAGGTGCGGGGGAAGGAAAACAAACTAGAACAAGCAGTTCTAAAGAAATAAGTTCTCAATCTGGATGACTTAAAATTGCATAGTTCCTGTACCCTCCCAATATCAGAAGGAAGAGCGTTCCAGACGGCCGTAGAAGCGCATCTGAAAGTGCTGCGCGATGCAGTGACCATCATTGTTCGATGTCCGAGCCAACGGCCGCTGCTGCTGCGAGAATGACCGGAGTTCGCGTGATGTTAGACCCTCACCGGCACTCTCCGACGCACCTCCGCAGGACTTGGAGCTCAAGTACCTCCTGCAGAAACGAGACCACCGCCTCGTCGTCCCGGACGCCGCCTTCGTCAGCAACGAGCTGCACCTCGACTCGTGGTTCGACCCGCTCTACCGCCGCCGCATGCTCATCAGCCTGCGCAGCAACCGCCACCGCCCCACCTCGCTGCACGTGCTGCTGGGCATCAGCCTGCACGTCTGCCACGCGAAGACGGGCGCCGGCCGTTCGGGCGGAGGCGGCAACAGCGGCGGCGGGGGCGGCGGCGCAAACGGAACGGGCGGCAGCGCGGCGCGCGGGGAGCCGCTGCTCACCGTCTCGGTGAACCCCTTCGGCGGCAGCCACTCGGAGAGCTGGCAGCTGCCGGCCGGGAGGGACGGCTACCCCGGCTGGGAGAAGGTGCGGCACCCGGAGGCCGGGCCAGTGACGGGCTCGGGCGCCGCCGGTACCTTCCCGCCACCGGGCACCGTCGTGCAGTGCCACAACTGGACGCTGAGCCTGGGCAACCGCTACAAGTCCTTCTTCGAGACGGTGCACATTTACATGCGCAGCAGGGGAGGCCTGAAGGTAAGGGGGACGGGCGGTCGCGTGCGCGCCCCCGGGGCGGTCTGAGCTGGTGCCGATGGTAGAGCGGAGCTCGTTCCGTTCCGGCGATGCGGACGATCGGTGGCGCGGTCGCCGCTTGTTGCAGAGGTTCGCGGTTTAGAGCACCCCGCGGCCGCCCTGGTTAATGCTTTTTCCATTCTTTTTGGGTCTTTCGGTAAAGTCACGTAGATGGAAAAATAATAGATCACGACGTTTCGATCGCAACAGGCAATCACCTGATGACGATTGCTTGTGTTGCGATCAAAACGTCGTGATCTATTATTTTTATACCTACGTGACTTTACCGAAAGACCCAAAGAGTACGAATTCCTGCAGTCATGAAAGCTTTAAATCAAGCATTTTCCATTCCGATGATGTACGTGTACGTATGTGTACATATTGAGGCGTTCTTCAGATCCCGTTCGGATGGTGTCTACGGCTCGACGCACCTCATCGAAACGTAACGTTGTGGAGGTCAACAGTAATTGTGCTATGGCGAAACCCACGCTCACAACAGCAATGTGACATTTCCAGCACTGGCTCTGCAGGGCTGTAAACAGGAGGTGAGCACCAATGGCTCGATGCTCATTTTATTAGAAATTCCCTTTGACGTTTACATTTCATTGGATTACTTGAAAAACTCTACTAATTTTTTTAATGTATTTTATTTTTATTGAACAGGCTTGTCGTCCGTGGACGACAAGCCCGAGGCAAGGTACCCAAGGGGTAAGAGGAGGGCGATTGGGCTCATGTCCCCCTTTTCACGTAGGAGTAGCGATCTGGAACATGGTATTTGAAGGGGGTCTCCTCCCTATACTTGACCACTACTTCCATACACGTGCTCATCATTGCGCGTGTTCATCACGTGTTCATCACGACTCACCAATGGCGCTCAGCACAGATTTCTACCTTTCCACGAAGCATTCGCAACTTTCAAAATGTTTTAAATCCCATGAATCATCACACCAGACAGGAAATATTACCGTTTTGAGGTAGAGTCACATCTCAACCGGTCCTGGGCCCCACCGCTCTTCACCAACCTGCTCTGGTAAGCGCGGTGAGGTATGGTCAAACATCGGCCGTGAGCGACACTGCATAGGCAGGCACTCATCCCAGCAGTGGATTGACCGAGGCCTGTACGCAATGTAATTGTTATTTTGTTTGTGCACAAGTGTTCCTTGCCACAATTGGGCATGCAAGACAATGGCACGCGAGCGGCATTAATAACAGCATGGGCAGCGCCGACGGAATCAGTGTTGGTTTAAGAAACTGCAACGCAGCATCAGCAGCGGAAGCATCATTAATACAAAAAAATATATCAGCAGCAGCAGCAGCATAAACAGCAGCAGTGGTGCAAACAGGCGTCCTGGGGATGGCAATAAACCGCATCTGGTGTTGGTGTCATCTAAAAACATTGCTGAGGAAGGCAAGGGAGAAGCCACCTCGGCTGTCCTTTCCAGGCTATGGTTAAATAACTCTGAAGTATGAAGAGCGGATAAGCTGCCAATTTGTCTCCTTCATACATCGGTCCGTTGTAAAAAAAATAAAAACATTTCTTGCACGACCCATCAGAGTCCATGATTTCAGCAGCACTGCTGCTGATTGAGCGCAGGCAAAATCAGGACCGGTTCCGGCACACAGCGTCTCTTCGGCTGAGCCGGGCCTGTCGGAATCAAGCGCTGGCGAACCGCCACAATGCCACAGGCAAGGACAAGGGTCCTCGCTCAACTCAAAATTAAACTATAAATAACACTCACCGTTGCATTGTGTTACGTAGTGCGAAGGGTTCGCGTTGTGCGGTGGTGGGAGGGGGAGCGCGATCAGATGAGATAGAGGGACCAGACCAGGTCGCCCATTCTCGTTCTGAAGCGTCTCCAAGCTGCAGGGTGTTGTGTCACGTTCACCGCTGAAGCTCGGAACGCGTAAGCGGCTCAGCGTTCATTTTATTTTGAGAGGCGTTATCGCCATTTGTTTTTAAGACATTGTACTCACCGCGGAGAAGTGTAGCGACGCGACCGCACTCTACGATAGCCGGTGCCAAACTGGCCTCGTGGGAACCTCGATGGATCTTTCGATCTGAAGCCGTGGCGATGAAGTTATTTTATTTTAGTACGCGTACGTCATCGGAATGGGAAAGGGTCACGACGGAGCGTCAGAGAGAGAAGGGCTGCATGCAGAACGAGAGAGTGAGTGAGAGAGTGAGCGAGAGAGTGAGTGAGAGAGTGAGCGAGAAAGTGAGCGAGAGAGTGAGCGAGAGAGCGAGCGAGAGAGCGAGCGAGCGAGCGAGCGAGAGAGCGAGAAAGCGAGCGAGAGAGTGAGCGAGAGAGCGAGAGAGTGAGCAAGAGAGTGAGCGAGAGAGCGAGCGAGAAAGTGAGCGAGAAGTAAGGGGTTACATAAAGCAAAGTTATTTTAAAAAAAAAATCACGAAATGAACGAAGCAAAGTGCCGACTACACCGAGCATCTTCTTGTTTCCACTGGTCGTAAAAAAAAAGAGAGTAGCAACATCAGCTGTAAAATAGCAGCCACAGTGTAAACAGCATCCTTCCCCAAATCTTGTTGTCCTTTGCCGCACCTCCGAATAGCGCGGCTTGGCTACGCACGGCGCGAAAGAAGTTCAACGTACGTGCGTTCGTCATGAGCAGCAGATGGAAACGGGACCAGCAGAAACAGCAGCGGCAGCGTTGCACGGCAGCGGGACGACGCGTGGCATTTCAGAAGCCGAGTTTGATTGCTGTGCCGTGTTGTGGAGCGCCATCTCCCCTTGTTGGCTCCATGGCCCGAGCTCACCCCATGCCATCTGACCCCACTCCGTCCGCTTCAACAAAACTCGTTCTACTTACCTGCTCATTACAAACATTGTAAAAACTGCACAAATGATTTCCCTCTTCTCTCGTTCCCATGCTCCCCACCCCCACGGACTTACTCGTGCCAACCAAGATATTTACCGTCACACAATGTGGCCGATGGCGATGGTTTATTGCAACTGCATCCGGAACAATCAATAGACTAAAGATAACCAAAATCTCCTTACAACAGACTTTAGGAGCAAGTGCCGTCAGCTAGCATCTATAAAGGACGGTACACGGAGGGGAGTGGGTGTGATTGGCCAGCACCACGCTCGGCCACGTTTGTCTCACTGGTGGCGATGTTTACACCATATACTCACTTGAGTCTGAGTCGATCTAGGGGAGGCGCAGGACCGGTTCAGAAAATCGCCACTGGTGACATTGGCCGTGCGTGGGAATTGAACTGGGGCCGTCACCATCGTCACCGTTAAACGTCTCACAAACTTTCCTCCCTCCCTCCACTCCCTCCCTCTACTCTCTCCTTCCACTCCCTCCCTCCGCTCCCTCCCCTCCCTCCTTTCCCTCCACTCCCTCCACTCCCTCCCTCCACTCCCTCCACTTCCTCCCTCTACTCCCTCCCCTCCCTCCACTCCCTCCCTGCCCCACCCCTTCACTCCCTCCCTCCCCTCACTCCCCCACCCCTCCACTCCTTCCCGTCTTTGCAACCCAAAGTCAGGTGCGCTTCTGACCAACAACCGTACGGAGAGCAGCGAATCGGCCGACACGTCCGACCCTCCGGCCAAGTCCCAGCCGCCACCGCCGCCACCACCGCCGCGCCGCGGTTTCATGAAGATCACATCGGTGCAAGTGTTCGGCTACCGGCTGCCCTTCAACGCGGAGCTACTGCGCTCCACCGTGCTGCGCTCCGCCCAGGTGCAGGCGCAGGGAGGCCCCGGCACCGCCGCCACTGCCGCCCAAACCCAGCAGCAGCAGCAGCACCAGCAGCAGATGCTGGCGCTGTCAGAGCTGCGGGCTCGCGTGAACTGGCTGGCGCCGGTGACGCGCCACCCGCCCTACGACCTCTTCGGGTGCCTCCTGCGCCACCGCGTGCGTCTCAACGGCACGGAGGTGGCGCGGCTCAATCAGGCGCTGGACGCGTTCGATTCGGCGGTGCTGCTCATGCCCGAGACGGAAAGGACAAAGCTCTGCACGTAGTCGTCCGTCGCGGCGAGTTTTCGTTTCCGTCGACGAGGGAATTTTAGGAGAGAACGAGAGAGAGAGAGAGAACGAGCGAGCGAGAGAGAGAGAGAGAGAGGAGGAATGAAAGCGAAGAAGTTAGAAGATGAGGATAAAGAAATGAACATATATGTATATCTGTCTATACAAGTCGAACGATGCAAATATGCGCTCGCGCGCGGATCAAAACACATGACGTGAATGCTTTATGAAGCGCCGTCGGAAACGTTTTTGAGAACAAGATATTGCATATACATCGTGTTCATGTTCCACGAGCAGATCACCCAGAAATGCACCCCTAATGATTTTCTTTGAAATTTGTTTTAACATTCGCACACACAAAATCGTGTTCTCCAGATTATGAGACGCCCAGGAGAGTAAGACGCACCCAAAACTTGTTGCTGGTATTTCATTAGGCTCCTAGAGATCTGGTCAAGGACAAAAAGACAAAGATCCCCCGTATAGCCTGTAACAGACCTTGAGGGCAACTGCTGTTAGCGAGCACCTATGAAGGCTGGCACAGCGCACGAGGGGGTGGGTGGCCAGCACCACGCCCGGCTGCCTTTGTTAGATGTGGTCACATGCACACACACACACACCCATGCACACACAAACACCCACGCACACACACACACCCATGCACACAGATACGCACACACCCACGCACACACACCCACACACGCATACACACACACGCACCCACACGCACACCCACGCACACACAGCTACACACACACCGACGCGCACACACACACCCACGCACACACACCCACGCACACATGCACACCCACGCGCACACACCCACACACACACACCCACGCACCCACGCACACACCCACGCACACACACACACCCACGCACACACACACGCACACACACACAAACCCACGCACACACCCACGCACACACACACACAAACCCACGCACACACCCACGCACACACACACACACACCGACCAAATTAAGAAATGCAACCCCAACTTTTGCTGTAGCACAGAGGTGGGGGCGAAAATAAAATGCGTCTTAATCTGGAAAACACGTTAATGGTTAATAATCAAGATGATCAAGAATACAATTTATGATAACAATTATTATTTCCTCTGGTCAAATTAAACATCAGATCTCGACAACGAAGCATGCTTTTGTCTGGACGGTGCTTGATAATGCGGCCACCGCAAGCGCACGGGGCTCTGATATGAGGGCAGCAGACGGCATCGCAGCGAAATCCATTGTTGTGCTGCACTCCTACGTCACCACGTGTATGCTCCCCTCGCTCACACCGACATGCACTGCCCGGCGACATTGACGTTGAGCTATGGTCAAAACCCCCCCTCGTGACATGCACAGGCGTAGGGGGAAAGCCTTCATTCAGGGTTCGATTGTCAAAGGGCTGTACATTAATATTGATATTGACGCACGGTAGTTACATCAGTGATAGGGCCTTAAACGATGACCCAAACAAAAGTGGATTCTTCAATTGATCTTGTTCTCAGAACTTTTTGGCCGACTCTCGTGAACACGCACGCAAACACACTCGCGCACAAAGACAGAGATCCCCCGTATAGCCTTAACAGATTGTTGGGGCAAGTGCTGTTAGTGAGCACCTATGAAGGCCGGCACGGCACAGCAAGGGGCGGGTGGCCCCCAACCGCACCCAACCGCCTTTGTCTCCCCAGTGGCGATGTTTTATAAATCGCACCAGATACTTATTTGAGGCCAAGTCAACCTAGGGGAGGCCCAGGATTGGTTCATATAATCGTCTTCATGGCACAGTGCACCAACCGCTACAGTACCGCCCCATACCACGCTAGCACGCACAAACGAACATGCACGCTTATCAACAGCACCAAAAAGAAACATCACATTTGTTTGTAAATCTATTAGATGTTGCCATACCATTTGAGACAGCAAATGCCTTTTATCGGCAAATGTTGAGGGTATGAACGCGATTGGTCGAGGTGGCTCCTAAGTGCAATCGCTACTTGTGTCCATGGTAATGTAAGTTGTATTTATTGAATGGAGCCAAAACGGAGGCTGAAACGACCGTACATTTCGTTCCGCGCGAGTTTTTTGATGACGGGGAAAAAATATATATATATGTAACATCAACGATGATTCGACCAAGCGTTAGAATATCGATGGAAGCGAAATACGGATTCAAAAATGTCTTAATTTTCAGCGATCAAATGCGCGGGTGAAGTTAAGTAATGCGCTCTTGTAGACAAAAGCGAAACTGTTGTCCATGCGAGCGGTGGATAGGGGGATCTTCTTTTTTTTTACTTTTTTTTCTTTTCATTGTCGTTGGAGAAAAACAATGCACGTACGTGTCCCCTGCCTTTACGTTATTGCCAGAGTGGGACCTGTCATGGGTTTGTGTTTGTCTCGAGATTTGCGACCCAGGAGATGCGCCTTGCATGAGCACGATGGATGATGGGCAGAGGTAGCAGGGTGAGTGGAGGGATTTGGGTTTAACTTTGACCCAGTGCAAGACGTGGTGACGACATTTTATAATCAAAGACGAGCCGTGGACTCTTGTGAATTCACCGACTCTGTGAACAAGGCAAGACCAAGTCGACAATTGAAGTTTATTATGGACTTAACAAATCTTTCGGAATTAATCATCGTTGTAAATTTTAAGTGTTTCGTTATTTCTGGGGGGAGAGGGTGGGGAGGTTGGTTTATTTTTCATTTTGTTGAAGACTGGGATGACGGTTTTGAAGGATTCGCACAGCTAACAGCGAAGTTGAACCCACGCAACCCACTCTATGCTTAATTTATAACTGTGAAAGTCAAAATGTAATGACAAGAGTTTTAAATGTTGGATTACACATTTATTAAAAGGTATTTCTATTGCCGTCGTGTTTGTGAGTGCTCGGGTTCCGTAACTCGCGTTTTTTTAATTGTATTTACACGTTTATTTATTTATATTTGCGATTTACACCGAGTCCGATTTTTCATTCCATCTCACGATCACGTTTACGAAAAGGCGGTTCTCTCACCAACGACAAACATCCACCCCGAACGTTGCCGACAAAACTGTCACATTCTCAGAAGCGAAGCAGGCAATACTGATACTGTTAGGTTTTTTCGGTAAAGTCACGTAGGTAAAAAATAAAATTAAAAGTTTTTCCATTATTATTTTTTTAATTTCCATCATTACTTTTATTAACTTTTAATTTTAATTTTTTACCTACGTGACTTTACCGAAAACACCTAACAGTATGAATCCTTGCAGTCACGAAAGCTTCAAATCTAGAATTAGGCAATGCTGTGCCCGGTTAGCACTTGGTTTGGGTGGTGACCACCAGTGCTTTCAAGGTGTTGTGGGCGCGGCCAGAAATGTGTCCGTGCACTCCGGATTCCTCTCGCACGAAGTCGTGAAGCACTGCGCACATTCGCGGGTGTGGCCGTAGAGCGCCCAGGTGCGTTTCCCTGGGTCTACTGCCAGCCCGTCGGCACCGACGTCCCACGTTTGGCGCCACGTGCTGGGAGCATCCGGTTCCTAAAAAATAAAAGAACTGAAGGAGCTTCCAGAACGTGGAGCGAAACGTCCGACATCGTGCCGAACAACACGCGGTAGCATCCCAAAAACCACATCGGAGAGCCAAACCCCCATTAATTAGCATTGGTCAATCACACCAGTGTTTAATCGAAACCTTATCGTTTTATTTTACCAGGTAAGGCCCACTGAGCTATACGGCTCTTTTTTAGAAGAGACTTGCCCACAAATGATAGCTCAACGAAGTGGCCTTTGTGCAAATGCATAGCGGCCAAATACTCGAAACGGGTGTTGATTCCAAACGTGGAGGGAATAAGTATAACCCGTAAAAACAAAGTTTTTCACTATAAATCCTTTATATGCGTGGCGGCTAGAGTCCTCTCGTCCTCTGGCTTGAGATGGCTGCCACCTATGGGTCAGATGATTGTCTGCAGTATTAAACAATTGGTAATTAAATATTTAATTTGTTTCCCTAAACAGTGTAAAATTGAGGAATTTTTTTCACGAACATTAATTGTCTCGCACAACGAGTCTGTGTGCAAAATTTCAACTCGATTGGATCAGAGGAAGTGGGTTAAAAAAAACGACCGAAAGATTTGCACGGTCGTAAGCAAGCAAGCAAGCACGCAAGCAAGCAAGCACGCAAGCAAGCAAACTTAATTTAAAGGATTTAACAAGTATAACCCGTAAAAACAAAGTTTTTCACTATAAATTCTTTATATGCGTGGCAGCGAACTTAATATAAAGGATTTAAAAATATATTCGCCTGTGTAGGACGCGGGGATCGATCCCGCGACCTTTGGCATGGGAAGCGAGGGCGCTACCAACTGCGCTACTCCGCCACGGCCTGTGGAGGGGTTACGCTCTGGGCTCCTATACTGTGACGTTCAACCAAAGCCAAGAATGAGTTCTATTTGAATATATGTAAAATATTTTTTTTTGCCTAAAAAGTGTAACATTTTGGGAATTTTTTTTTCACGAACATTAATTGACTGGCACAACGAGTCTGTGTGGAAAATGTCAGCTCGATTGGATCACGGGAAGTGGGTTAAAAAACGACCGAAAGATTTGCACGGTCGTAAGCAAGCAAGCACGCAAGCACGCACGCAAGCAAGCACGCAAGCAAGCAAGCATGCGAACTTAATATAAAGGATTTAAAAACCGGAGGACCCGGAGAAAAAATCCACGTGACCACAGCAAGAGAGAGAAGCATGCAAGGCATGCCAACTCCAAATATACAGGCGTCAGTGTTGGGATCAGCCGCAGTGCCTGGATTATCCCAGTAGCAACAGTATCTACATGTGTAGTAGCTACATGTGTAGTAGCTACACGTGTAGTAGCTACACGTGTAGTCGCTACACGTGTAGTAGTAGCTATACGTGTAGTAGCTACACGTGTAGTAGTAGCTACACGTGTAGTTGCTACACGTGTAGTAGCTACGGGCCCCGCACTTTCAAGGGCCACGCGCTAAATGCTTCCAAGATATCAATTTCGGTTCAGTGATTCTGCACTTGCTCTTTTACTATAGTACCATACGGCCTTCAACTTTTATGAACGACTGGGTGTTTAAGGTTGGCGATAATGTATTATCTAGCTTTAGAGCAAATGAAAAAATACAATTACTTTACTATGCAAGTTAAACATTTGTGTTTTAATATTACTTTTTTTCATTTTAGGGCCCCTTTATAATATATGCTACAGGCCCCGCACTAGCTTAATCCGGCACTGATCGGCAGGATGCTTCTGAAACCATGAATCTCTCGACTCAGTGAAGCTTTCTCTCATGCTCTCACTTGCGCACACACATTCAAGTTCGGTCGACGCACAATCTTGTTCATTTGTGTCAACATCACCAGATGCGATGGCTAAAACCAATCTCCGGACGGCAGTGAGTGTGCGGCAGAGACGATGCACGCACACACACCCAAACTCAGCCCGATGCTGGGAATAGTTCCTTATTATGCAGCTCGATCCATTTATGGATACACCACTAAAAAAGGAGAGAGAAAATACAGATAAAAGTACGTTTTATTTTCAGAGTTTCTACGCATCTCCTACCAATGTCACTGTCTCTCTCTCAACATGCCACCATGTCAAATTGGTTGTTTACCCTTTTATCTGGCAACAAAACTGACACTTTTTTTTACAAGGAGTCATGTTTGCATTGACCACAATACCTGCAGTCGGAATGCAAACAAAAACACAACTGATAATGAATGCACTGTCATTGAAATTGATTGGTCCACACCCGAGACAGCTTTTCTTAGAGCCTAGTCTCATCCGACTGCAGGTATTGTGGTCAATGCAAACATGACTCCTTGTAAAAAAAAGGTGCCAGTTTTGTTGCCAGATAAAAGGGTAAAAAACCAATTATCATATTTTGCTACTGGCAAATGAGGTTCCAATGATGCCACCATGTCCTTTCTCAAACATGTTGGCGATCTCGTGCTCCCGTGTAGCTCTGTCAATGATTTTGCTCAAGAACTTTGAATGAGATGCTCTCTCTCCCAATTGCATATCATTGTTTCAGTTGCTTATGTAACGTTACTGGCCCGTCTGCCCTGGCTTTTTGTCCCCATAATTTTCCCCTTCCAACAATAATATTCAGTCTCAAATTGTCCCATTACATGTCCGAGACATCTAAATGAGCTTTTTTCTAATTATTATCGTTAATTTTTTTTGTGTGTACCCTGCTGCTACCCGTAATATATTTACTTCACTCATTGTCCATACATAAGCACTTTTAAATTCCAGACCTGCACACATAACACAGCATACTTCTAATTCTCGTCGTCATTAAAACAATATCATTTTTCAATTTCGATCCAATTTTCTTACATATATCTCTTCGCAAACTGCTTTTTTGTTTTTGTTTTGTTTATCTCAATACTCTCTGTAGGCTGTGGGGACCATCGCTTCCACGGGATCCAATCAGCTGCTCAAAATAAAGAAAGAGTGGGTCATTGTAAATCATCCTTGCACGGCACCATTTCAATTTACCTGCATCTATACACATATTGTTATTTAATCTTGATTTGAAGCTTTCGTGACTGCAGGAATTCATACTCTTTGGTTCTTTCGGTAAAGTCACGTAGGTAGAAAAATAACAAATAGATCACGACGTTTCGATCGCAACACAAGCAATCTTCTTCGGATTAGCCGAGGTATGCCTGGCTCTGCGATCTTACATTTACTTGCAAATTCCATCTCTAGCCCTGCCCACTTACCCTTGGATTGTGCCCATCTAAAACCTATATAACCTTTGGTTGCTGTAGCTCTCTCGCTACATTCCTTCCTGCCTCAGCAGTCCGTCTGCTGTATTGTTTCACCTGAAGACGATTGCTCGTGTTGCGATCGAAATGTCGTGATCTATTAGTATTTTTAAATCCTTTATATTAAGTTCGCGTGCTTGCTTGCGTGCTTGCTTGCTTAGGACCGTGCAAATATTTCGCTCGTTTTTTAACCCACTACCCGTGATCCAATCGAGCTGACATTTTCCACACAGACTCGTTGTGTGTGACAATTAATTTTCGTGAAAAAAAATCAAAAATTTTACACTGTTTAGGGAAAACAAATTAAATATTTAATTACCAATTGCTTAATGGTGGCAGACAATCATCTGACCCATAGGTGGCAGCCATCTCAAGCCAGAGGACGAGAGGACTCTAGCCGCCACGCATATAAAGGATTTATAGTGAAAAACTTTGTTTTTACGGGTTTACTTGTTTCTATCTCCGTGACTTTACCGAAAGAACCAAAGAGCGTATTGTTATTTATTTTTAATATATATACAATTATGGCCCCATCTCAATCCACCGCTGGATAAAGGCTTTCCCCGTGCCATGTTGGTCACGAAGGTTGTTTGACCATACTTCACCAAGCTGGTCAGTGTGGGCTTCTGAAGGCGGGGGGATGTGGGGGGGTAGGCCCAGGATGGGTTCATACATCACTCTGCCATCTCAATGTTGGTTGAAAATGGAACTTGGGTGACTGGCTTCATAGCACCGTGCCAGCTTAATAAGCAAACTCTCATCGGCAAAATATAAAACGCATTGACGACTCACGTGCTCGGTGTCCCTTGGCATGAACCAAATAAAAACAAAGAGTATGAATCCTTGCAGTCACGAAAACTTCAAATATAGAAATAAAAACCAACCAGTTCGACGTTGACGTATCATAATACAGGTAAAGGTGCAGCCCTGCAATTGCTTGTTCACATCACTGCCGACAGAAGAGTCCTCTACTCGAGCTAGCTCTAGAGAGGCCCTACAGAGATCACGTGGCCTACACTTCCACGCCGGTCTTGGAAGAGGTGGGATACTCACACTTTACCCCACCACGCGTAACCTGCCTTCCGACTAACTGCGTTTGTGATGGTGGTGGTGCCCATTCATTCGGCTGGTTGCACAGAGGCAGAGTGGGGGTGGAGAGATTGTACCGTTGTTTGGACTTGCTGCTCACGGAGATGTAATGGAACTGCCCGTATTCCGGCATGCGCTGTGCTCAGCATCACACCGTGGCAGTACCGCATTCATCAATATCTCTCTCGGTAATTGCGCAACTCACCATTATTACCGACCCGCCCCAACCCAATCCCACCAGCAGTTCCACTG